TTGGTAAATACAGTGGGATGTGACGTCATTTTCGCATGTTCAAAGGGCTTAGTTGATAACTAGACGAAGATTGAACGCTGCTGTTAAAAAGACTTTTTATGCACCTGAGATCATAATAATTGAGAATGTGAAACCAATATATCCATCTATCTAATCCCTTTGAACATGTGAAAAATCATGTCACAACCCACAGTATTTACCAATTTGAATGTACGTGTGGACACACACATCTGCATAGGGAGGTAGAGCCAAAATATGATTGGGGATTACCATAGTTTAGCATACACGGTGTACTGCTTTCTTTCTCAGGAATTATGCGTAGTAACCGCCACTTACGTATGTGATTAGTGAGTTCTGACTTTTCGACGCATACACTATAACTTCACCACCAGATGATATTCAGTCTGATATTATAACACTTCATTATGCCTATTTTTTCCATGGATTTAGTTAGTGTCATTCACCTGGTTCCGCAAACTTCATAACTGAACACTCCAGGACTGCTGATCAAAGTCGATAAGTACGCGAGTGACGCTGAAGTAGCCAATGATAAACCAAATCATTGTCAATCGCGCTGCTTTCGCTAATTTATATCATCTCTGGCGTAAGCATAACATCTGGCTATCAAACAAGGGACGTGTTTACTGCTCAGAAGTTCGCTCCGTCCTTCTCTATGGCTCTCTGAAACACGGCCAATACGAGTTGAAGACATGAAAATGTTGACTGTTTTTGATCATAGATGTCTACAATCTCTTTCTCACGTTAGGTGGTATAATAAGGTAATTAATCTTGACGTTAGGCGTAGAGTGTTGGTTGGGCAAAGGGGAAAAATCAATCGACAAGGCTATAAAGTTACATAGATTGAGATGGCTAGGTCACGTGCTGCGCATGCCTAACCATCGCCTCCCCTTTCTCGATGGGCATTATTACTGATATATGTGCAGGTTGGAAAAGAGTAAGTGGTGCCATGCCAGACAAAAACATGGCCTCATCAATCCATGAAATTCTTGACAGTTAAACTGAGTCAGGTGGGGAGGGAGATGCAGACTCCTTCCGGGTTGGGGCCCGCCCTCGGGACTCTAAGAATCAATGGCTGGAGACAATATGTGACATAGTTCAAAATCGGTGTCAATGGCTTACGCAGATGTATTCAGTCTCTGTATAAATTTCATATTCCTTTCTACCATTACTCATTCTGATTCACACTTATACTCGTCAAAACTCTATTGATTGATTCTCTTCACTCATTTTCTTGTCTACCTTTGTGTGGTATTTGGAACGTGGCAACTCGAACTGCTGCACTTCGGTGGCAAGTTCTATGTTGAATCCAGCCAGCCAGCCAGCATCTTGATGCCGAGCTACCTAGTGGCATGGTGGCCGTATTGCGAACCTGACTGACTGACTAACAGAATTCAGTCTGCACTAAAGAAAGGACTAGCCAGCCAGACACATCACACTAGTTATTGACTAGTGTCCAATCAAAGAAAAACCAGTAAGCCGATTAAAAGAAAGGGCTTCAAAATCAGGCATCCTAAATAGCATACTTTTCTGTAAGATTATGCAAGTACAGCTCCCATTTTAATTGAGGCATTGTCAGCATTCATCTAAATGGCTGCGATTCAGAAGAACGAACTGGAATAAGCTTTGATCATATTTCACGGAGTCAATCGTTTCCGTACATCCTGGACAGACTTCTTTGTTGTTCCAATAAATGTGTGTCATTCCTTGCATAAACTTCCATCAGTCGCTCCAAATTCCTTGGTGCTTTTGTCCAAATTGCCATTGTAGGCCCCAAACGAATCGTTAAAACGGCTAACCTTGAGAATGGCGATCGTCAGGGGGCATGTTGGTGTCTGTATATGTAACAGTGCAGATGTAGTTCGTAAATCGGCTTCATTATTATTAACGAGTGTAGACTAAAATATAGTATAACCTGAACAAACGACCAACTAAATGACGTTGAACGGCTAAAGCATTGCTTGTTTAAATGGAAAGCTTGCCAGCAAACAAATTGTGTAGGGCAGAAATTATGAGATATTTCAATCTTTCTTGCGTGTAAGAGAAGCATTTCCTGGTTTATCCTTAGCCAGCCCCTACAACACTTTCTACATGGACCATCAAAATGACTGTATATAATGTCAACGTACAGACAAGCTCAAAATTACACTTCTGCGTTGTTTTAGGAGTGCAGCATCACAGGAGCCACAATTTTCGAAAGAATTTAGGAAAGTATGAGTATATTATGTGAGCCACTTCTGAAAATGGACACTCAAATTTCCCTCCGCTTCAAAGGGAGGGAGAAACCCTGAGTGTTGTCATCTGAGCTGACGGTGAAACTTCAGACCACTATCATGACCTACTGAGCATGAGAGAAGGGATGGAAAACTAACTGATTCCTATTGAATCTGATGAAGTTGGTAGGATACAGAGAATGTAGCCAAGGAGTAATTTAGTCACATTTTTGAGTAACAAGTGCAGAAACATGAAAATACTGAGAACAGTACTGCAATCAGTTATCCACCTACTACTGCAGCAGCAATGTGATGATGGATGATACATGCAAGGTAATGCACGAAGCAAAGCCAAGAGAGGCGTCTAGATGGAAGAAAGTAGCATGACATGACTGCCTACTATAACCCATCATGGAACTGATTAGGATGGGACAGAAGATACAGTAGGCCTCTGGGAGTGTAAAGATAGGCCAACCTTCGATTGGCAAAAGAACACTAGATGATTTGGAATTTGCAGAATAATTAATTATATCTCATTTCTCACAAACTTGTAGATATCAAATCTAAAATGAAGCTTATCTAGTGTGACACAGAGTCGGGAATTCAGGTGTTGATGTAGAATACCGATTTCTTGGTTCTCATGGTCAGTACTGACATCAGAGAGCTTGGATCTTTCAACGGCCAAAATACAGGTGACCTACTATAAATCGGTCTTTCCCTTCCTTAATTATGAAAATAGCACAGATAATCATCAGTCACCTGACAACCGCAGTACTCAAGCTAAGGATGATATTGATGCTTGGACTGTCATGAAGTCGGTGTATCTCAATTGACTGAGGTGGTGAAGTTATCCGTCAAACATCAATCACCACCAGTGAGCGAAATCTAGAGGAATTCGTCTCTCCTAGTTGCTTACTTGCGCAACTATAGGTGACTACATGGGTAGGGATGTTAAAGTAAGCTAGAACATAGGGAGTAAGAGATGCAGTCGGAACCCAGAAGTTAGTGGAAACATATGAAGGCCCAAATGAATGGAAGGAATTCAGAATTATCGATAAAAATTCCGTGTTAGTGTTCCTGTATGGTTAGGAGTTTTGGAAAGCCTCCGGAACCATTTCCTACAAGCTAAACACCAGATTATTAGACAGAACAAATTACCAGTACGGAACGATTAAAGTGTAGCTACTCAGTCAAAAACATATCGCTGAACCAACAGAAAAGTAAAAGGAAATGCATATGAGCTGGACATGAGCTGAGGAGATATGCATCACAAGTCAGGTCCTCAAACTGATTCTTAATTGGAAGTGATGTATAGTGTGTAGGTAGAGCGGTGAGAGAGATGAAGTGAAAGTTGTGCAGCCAGTCATATGAGAGTGGTGCTGGGGGGAGGAGAAATGTGTAGGATGAAGATATAGGAGCTGAGGTCATATTTTTTACATGGAATGGAAGGAATAAGTAGCGTATGAAAGTCATTTTGCTTGAAGATGGACTCAGTATCAGCATACTCGAACTCATTTGCGAACGACTGATATCACTCATATTATCTTTACCAATATACTCTGCTGATGGTCTAAATCGATGCAAAAAGCTCACCACCATGCCTGTGAAAGTTGGTTAATGAATGACACTAGCGCCTAATTATCAAAGTTCACTGTCTCATATTTACCTTCTCACAGCAAAGATTTCATCAAAAGACTTGAAATATGATAAGGATTTTGATATTCATGAGGTCATGCCTGGCAAAGGTTCTGCATAAATGCACACTCGAAACAATATATGCTTTAGTGACATCACTTCTTGCAACTCACAATGTACTCACTGACCGAGGAATCATTCCTCACTGAAATATTGGAAATAGTTACACCTAGAATTCGGGAAAGTTTAGTAATTTCATGTTGAGAAGCAAGATCGACGCTTGGTTGTAAGGCTCAAAGGCGAAAGCTAAACACATCCCAAAACTCTTTTAATGGAAATATCGAAGACTGGACTTAAATGTCACGTTGGGTCGAAATTTCACTTGGAAATTTGTTTTGTCAACAAGTTTTAATAAAATTGTGTTGTATGTTATCTGTATTGATGGGAATTCTCACTTCCTGGCTAGCAATGTTGGTGTCCGCGTCATGTAATCTAACTGCGACACAGTCCTTGCATATTGGTTGCAATGATTCAGATTCAGATTACAAGGATAGAAGGCTCTTGTTGCCTGCGTTAATCCTCGCGATATATACCTCTGCAGAAATCCAGTTTCTCTTTGAAAGCGTTCACCGATGGCTCTGTTACTTCTGAATCAGGAAAGCAGTTCCAATCGCTGTCCACTCTGTGAGAAAATATAAACTCCAAGCGTATTTTCTTCAACCTCGGTTTGATCGCCTTCGTGTGGCAACCTCGTAAATGTATACCAGAGCGAGATAAAAGGTTTGAAAGGTCAATCCAATCCCAAAATCACCATTGAATATACAGTAAGCCGAAAATAAGCCGCCTGTCCTCCTTCGATATGATAATAGGAAGAGATTTAAATGCTCCATCCTCATATCATAATTAAGCAATGATTAGTGTTTCAGGGGGACTGTGTCAAAATATCGCTATAATGAGGAAGATGGGAAATTTGAAGGATAATGTCAATTACACAAATCGTTTACTCCATGTAGAAGCTGCAGCTTCCGGCATAGTATCATTCAATGAAGACTTCACGTCTGAGGATATCAATGAAGCCTATTTTCATGCGAAGAACAGTACTACTATCTGACAATCGAAATACAATTGGACACGGCCGAATTCAGCAGCGGGCAATATAATCTCTTCATTTTTCAAGGTCTTATGAGACATTCTAACCTGTCGGCAATTCTTGGAGGTATTACAAATTAATTGCTTGTTTTATTATATCTAGTAAATACTTGTCAGTCGTTTTATTTGAGTACTTGTTTATTTTCTGTCCATGTCGTCTACACTCTCACCTGTACTCATAACTTATGATTTCGTAATTTAGTGTCTTCGTCTGAGAATTATCCATATCTTCCCTCAGAAAGTTATAAACACTCCCCTTTAACTCTTTATGTAGTAGCTGAATCTATTCAATTATAATTGTAGTTAAAAAGATTATGTACGTGTTTACTCGACTAATTGAATGAACAGAGGTCTAGGCAGTATAGGTTTCCGAGACCTGACTACCCGGAATTCCAACAGCTTAAGGTCTTTCCCACCTTAATCTAGCCGGATGCTTCATGTAGCCACGGCTTCTGTTCTCTTGATTCTCTCTTCTAGTGGCCCGTTGGGCCTTATTCTCACCTTTTTGCCCCTGATCTTGAATGCGAGTTGTTGAGAATGATGCCTTTCGCCATCTCGTTCCTCAGTACGTTCTTCAGCAGTCGTGGGGAACTTTCCGTTGCATCGGCATTTCGTTTACCGATTCCGAGGACTTTTCTTATGTGAACTCCATTTGTTTTTTCAGGAAGCACTTCACAAATGACGGAGCTAACTACTTTGGGATCATAAGCATGTTGGGTAGCTAGATCTACTTTCTTTGATCCCTCTATATGTTCCAGATTACGATGGTGCAATTTGAGTCCGAAGGTTTCGCAGTCTTGTTCACGTTTTCGGCTGTCGAGATCTTATCACTAAGCCCAGTGTTTTTCTCTTCCCTATAGTTCTTCAGCTTTCTATTTTTTGTTGTTGCCACTAACCAAGTGGAATTAGTTACTTCCACTTTTCTCTCGCCTCAGTTGGAAGCCATGCGTTCACCAGACACGCAATGCTTCGTCGCTGTGGTATCACTCTGCGGTGTTACAATGTTGGCACCGGTTGCCCTCTTAGATTTTCGGGAATTTTGGACAGACGTTTGGACACACTGTACCTCTGTTGTGTCTTTCAAAGTTTCGAGATTCGGTTCTGTGTCAGTCTTATGACTCAGTCCAGAATCGTCATTCATGGCATGCATCGGTTCCAGATGCTGGCGTTTTCCCCTCATCTGAGGTTTTTGTCAATGCTTTGGACATAAGATATAGTCTTACGGCCTCTTGGATGAGGACGTCCATCGGGCTGCTAAACAGTTTGCACACTCATGGAGACAATGGCTTGCTTGCTGTATCTGTTATAGGCTTATGGTGATAAGCCAGTGAAAACTTTGTGAAGCCATAGGTTGCAGTTTTCACACTGCATCCCATCATCCACTGGAAACCACACACAAAAAGTCACGAAAGCGCACAAAATCTTATACTTCAACTAATTAGACCAGTTAAAGTAAACCAAAGTAGCTTTTGATGTGATGTACACAACAAAAGCAGAGGTTACTTCACAACGTGGAAATACCACTCTCCTTTTCGAGGCGCCCCTCCGGGAATCAGTTTGTGCATTCCATGTAATAACGTTTTAAGCCATTCACCCACAGGGTGTCTCTTTGGTAGAAAGTCATTTGGTTCTTGTGAATAATAGCCGAAGCCTACATGTATGGTTCGCACATGATTACGTATGGGGGGGGGGTTCTCTTAAAAACAGAGAAGGATGCCCGTTTTTCTTCAGTGAACATGAAACACTAGTATTGCATGTTATGTTGGTTTCATTCATGGGACCTATGCTCTCGGTCGGTCGGTCGGTTTTCGACATAGAACTTTGCACATATGTGCAGCAGTTCAAGTCGCCACACTCCCCTCCATGTAGCACACAAAGCAAGAGAAGAAAGTAGGAGAAATGCATAATATAGACAGTAAACAGAGGTGTCAGACAAAGGAATAGTAATAACGAAGATCAATATAGTTTCATTGGAAATCATAAGTCACAAGGAGTGGATGCATCTGCACTAGCCACTGAGAACGATTTTGAGCCATGTCACCAATTGTTTCCAACCATTGGTTTTTACCGTTATCCCGAGGACCCCAACCAGTCAGGAAGCCAGTCTACACCTTCCTACGCGGCTTAGACTAACTGTTGTAGATTTCATTGACTGGTGAGGTCATGTTTTGGTTTGACCGCCGCTAGCTCTTTTCCAGCCTGGCTCTATATCAGCTAACATTGCCCGTCGAGGAAGGCGATGATTAGTCATGCATACGTAACACATGTCCTAACCATCTCAGTCGATGTAGCTTCACAGTCTCGTCGATTGATTTCCCCGCCTTACCTAGCACTCGACGCCTAACCTCAATATTGCTCACCTTATTATACCACTTCACGTGGGAGATAGAACGTAGACACCTATGATCGAAGACAACTAATCTTTTCATGTCTTCGGCTCTCAATGGCCAGGTCTCACAGCCATAAAGGAGGACGGAGCGGACCTGTGTTCTAAGTCCACTTATTCTGTAGATGAGAAATAGGCGTTTCTATTTTCCACAGCGGCGCGTAAAATTCGATGCGTTGTCGAAATCGATTATAATTCCGTATGAATTCGATGCTGGGTATTCACACACACACACACAAATACTTCTTGATACCAAATTTATCGATGCTTATTTACTGTGTTTTTTTAACACTTGAAAATACATCATCTTTAGACAATTATTGTAGAGGGCAATGAGCCTACTGATCGATGACAGCAATCACCGTCCAATAAGAAGCCACTTCAAATGGTCCTTTGGTCGTCATAAGTCTGACAATGTTAACACCGCGAATGCCTTCATTCCACCTCGATACATGTTCAGCTATGAAACAACCGATTCAAATGTCAAACAGATTGAATTCACAAAGCCATCTGAACTGCTGTATCCCAATGGTGCAGGCGATCGACAAGAAACATTTGATTTCAGCACAGCTTTCTCTTTTTGTTCTGAAAACAAGTTAGACGGCAATGATCTTGATGTGGCAAACAATTACAAAACAATATTCACGTATTCAGATCCTATATGTAATGGTAAGTTATATGAAGTTCATACACATTTTTTGGCGTTGTAGATTTTTCTCCTAAATTCTGATCTTTTTAGTCGTAAACTGACTGACTGACTGGGGTCGTCGAGACTCTAATGAAAACCAGTCGCTTGGGACTGTTGGTGATATGACTCTCTTTTTTGTTTACAAAATTCCCCGGAATAATTAAATCCTTGTACTTCTCCATGTACTTTTTTTGTCCACTACACACTTCTTCGTATTATAGTTCCCCTGAATTTCTGTTTCCTTCTTGTCTCTAACTTTGTGTACTGTGTGAGGGGATATGAGGCGTCTCGGCTGCTCTTCCCATGTCTTGGCGATTTCTATAAGAATATTTCGTCTGACTTTTTACATTAAGAAGTTAAGGCACTCAGGCATAACCTAAACCCTCCTCCTCTTACAGTTTGTCAACTCGTGCGCATCTTACCTATTCTTCTTTACTGTTCACCCCTGCTTATTCTCTCCTGGATTGCTTAAGAAAGACTATGTCATACTTCGTAGAACTCTGAAGACTGTCAGTCAGTCAGTAGGGCGAGTGGTATCCCATTGGGCCATATCGTTGACATTGTCATTGATAGGCACTTGATGTCATGCAACAAATTTGCTAAAGGAATTTTGTCAGACTGTGAGCATCCACCACAGCACCCGCAGCTCCAACCTTGTGTCTCCTCCTCAGGTAAAACAAGAAGTCATTTCAGAAGACTTTATGCACGTACGTCTAAGTATAAAAATTCCACTATACCATATTTGACAGCACGTACTTTATGTGATGAAAATAGTGTTAGGCATGAACTAACTAACTAACCTTCTTTGCACTACTAAATAAACCATTTTCCTCCATCCTTACAACATCAAACTTTATTGTTATTGTACTTCTTATATTTATAATCCTCTCAATTTTTTGTTTTTATTTATATTTATTTTCTCATAAGTGTGAACATCATTTAAGCTGTGTTATAACTGTTAATTTTGTCTTTCCCCTCACCATGCTGCTATATCAACAGAACATTAGATTCAATACTCTATAATAACATGCTAAAATTTCCAAACTGAATCGACAATACTGTTTGAAACAAACTCACTGTTATTATTATTATTATATTTAATATTCTCAATTTGTGCTTCGAATATTTTTGACTTTATATCGTAAATGTGGACAAATTCCTCTGGTTAATTTTGTTTTAATTTTTAATTTTATTTATATTTTGAGTAAATCAGATGCGAGATATTGTGACAAATGCTGAGAATTCCATTCTGTATTATAAGTAGTGCTGTTTTTGGAATAAAGTAGATTATTATTATTATTAACTGACTGTGTGTGGGAACTGCTAAACTTCAGTTGAATTCTAACTTCTACCAATTTATGATTTTTTTTTTATTTACAGCTTGATTCGACACCATATTTTCAGTAAAAGTGTGGAATTTTCAGCATGGATATCGGTAGCCCAAGTTCAGGCCGACCATAGATATCGGGTGTGCGCCGGCAGGGGATCGAACCCCGGACCACGTGCATGGTCGGCGAGAGTCCTAACCACTGTGCCACCGACGGTGGGTCGGTGGGACATCCATCCATCCTCACACGTGACATCTGGATGGACCACCACCTCACTGGTCACGACTTCTCACTTCTCACTTTCATGTCTTATGTTTGTTTGAAGGACATGGTGAATATATAAAAGCTATGCTTGTCGAATCAACTGGAAATCAACACGTGTAGTGTGGAATGATTCAACACCTGTCCAGCCAGATATCTGGAATATTCTACTACCCCAAAGACGATGACAAATAGGAGAGGACAACGGAAACTATATAAGTCAAGTTTCGAAGTCGTGTGATTGTAATTGATGAAATGATTATGAACAGCAATAATGAATTGTGTTCGAAACAACTTTGTCATCCAGTAAATACTAATACTGTTTCACTCACTGACTGTGTGGTGATACATCTAATAAACACGTAGAGTTGTTTTACGAAGTTATTGATTTCCAATATTCCTTCCTTCTTCACTTCCTTTCTTTAAGATAGCTGTCAGTAGCTGTGCCGCAAAACTGCATGTCACTTTCTCAACCAAACCGATATTGACACTGTGCATTAAAGATAGATTACCCAAAATGACGACATCAATGTGTGTATATAAATTCAACTGCTCCTGTGGAGCTAGTTATATAGGTCGTACCCAAAGGAATTTATCTTTACGCACTCGTGAACATATTGCTGTTTGGCTTGGGAGAAGAGCAACCAAATCATTAAATAGTGCAATTCTGGCTCATCTAGTGGATCAAAGTATATGAGTCATTTACAGTTGCGTATCGAGTATCGAACAATCTCCCCAAAGGCACACGATTACGCCTCCTCCTAGCCATAGCTGAGGTTTTAGAGATTAATAGAGAAAGAAGACCAGACTTATGTGTACAGAAAAAACTTATACAGTCTCTCTGTCTACCCTGGCCCACTATAAGGTCACCAGGGTCATAATTTTCCGTATTATTATTACCATTATTATCATTCTGTGATATCATGTCTTTATTATCCATTTCTCCACCCAGTTTATATCAACCCATCGTTACCCTTCATTTTTGTCAACTTTTGTGATTTTATACTAAGCCTACCAATTCTGTAACATCTTATTGCAATTTACAATTTAGCCTCTTTATTTTATCATTAGACATTATCGGTCAACCCTCACATTCAGTGTCCCCTTTGTTAATTAATGTGTATTTGTATTTATTTTGTGGCTATCGCATTTCTCTCACCCCAATGACACTTGTATTCTGTTGACTAGAAAACAGCACTATATTATCACCCAATTGTTCATTCACACTTCATCACATTTTTTGTTCTGACTATACACCCTATACACATTTGATTGATTATGTTAACTCTAATGGACTATCATCTCAACTTACACATGCACCCCAATACAGACAGTTTCTGATATTATTTTCATTTGCCTTTATTGGCTATAGGTGTACTCTATTATTCATGGATTTATAACTAACTGTAGAGCCTGAAGAAGAAGTTATCGAAAACAATTGTTCACTCAAAATCTTGTTTTGATTTCAGTAGCTGTTTTGACAGACTTTTTTTTCTAGTAATTATTCCAGTGCTCACTGACTGCTTGACTTCTTTTTTTTCTTTCTTTTATTTTATAGTAGATTATCAATTATCAACATATGATTATACGGATAGTGCACAAAGAAAATACTTGGACAGTCGGGTCTACTATGCAATCATTGCTTTATCCGGCTTACTGCTGGTCCTATTCTTTCCATTCTTGTGCTGGTTTTATGTGAAGGTTAGTGTAGTGAAGTGTAGTGTCATATATACTTTGTTTTCATTGTTAGAATTGTTACTAAATTTTGCTTTTTTTGTTAAATTAACATTTAAAATAGTTAGTCCCTTTTATAAATTTGCATAGCGTTGTGATTAGAAGACGGAGATTTTCTGAAAACCAATGTGATGTGATGTATTTGCGCTATACATTTCGAACAACAATCTGATCCCTCACACATTTACTTGTCAAGTCGATATTATTATTATTATTGTATCCTTTAATTCCTAGAGGAACATAGGGCTTCAGCCGTGCGTCTCCATTGCGTTCGGTTCTCTGCTAGAGTCTTCACCTGGCTCCATGTCTGCCCACACGTTTTCATCTCCTCTTCACATGACCTCCTCTGAGTCACCCTCACCCTTGCATTGACGACCAACTCACCGCTTCCCTTTCGAGTTCCACTCAAGCAATGGCTTGTCTAGTGATGTCACTTGATGGTTTGTTTCCTCAGAGTATGGCCAATCCATCTCCATTTCTTCCTGCCTATTTGTTTCACAATCGGTTCCTGGTTAGTTCGCTCCCAAAGATCCCTGTTGCTGATCTTTTCTGGCCATCTGATCTTGAGTATTGAGCGAATAAAGTCAGCTGTTGATGAAGGTGTGTAGTTTGTTTGAGGTGCTCTTTATGACGCGCAGTGCAAGTCTCTGATCCGTATAGTGAGTAGCACTGACTGACTTCACATTGGAGTTGAAAATCCGAATCTTATTTTCGATGCTGAGTGTTGTTGACCTCCACACAGACTTGAGAGTAGTGAAAGCTTGTCTTGCTTTTCCGATTCTTGCTTTGATATCCTCGTCAGTTCCATCAGCCTGTAGTTGAAACGATGCTTCCCAGGTAAGTGGGTAGGTAAAGGAGGTTCCTTCTTTCACATTTCTCTCGTTTATGCTGATTGCTGTCTGTTGTAGTTGGTGTTGCTGATTTTGGCCAGGAATCTTCATCACCTACCTCTGTTTTCTCTTTGTTCACCTGAAGTCCTATTTTTGATACTTCTTCTGCCAACTTGTTGCTTTTCGCTTGCATATCTTCCAGTTCGTGGGAAATCAGACATATATCATCGGCGAAGTCCAGATCCTCCAAGTTTTTTGTGTGAGTCCATTTTATGCCTGTTTCCTCATTGCCCGCTGTTTATCGCATTATCCAGTCTACGGCAATCAGGAAAATCATTGGCGATAGTAGGCAGCCAGCCAGCCTTGTCTTACTCCTGTCCTCACTTCGAAGGGTTCCGTAAGTTTCCCGTTGTGGATTACTTGGCATGCAGCATGCCATGTCAAGTCGATATATACATGAAAATGTTAAATTAAACGAAGTAACAAAAAAAGGATTTAAGAATGATTAACACAACGTTTGGTAATCCAATCAAATAAGGATTACCATTGGTTAAGACTGTTGATATTCTTTGTGACTATATATCTTCTAGTTGTTTTTCATTTCCTTTTCCTTTAACTTATTTGAAAGATTTATTACTATTATGTACTGACAACTTCTATTTCACGTTTGAAGGTGAACATTTTCAACTAGTGGATGGCGTTGTAATGGGGAGTCCATTAGAACCTTTATTAGCGGACGTTTACATGTCTTATGTTGAAAACTTATCCTCTGATTTAATTTCTGAATTGCCTTTCTATAAGAGATATGTAGACGATATCATTTTGATATGCGACGATCATGAAGATGCGAGTCGTCTATTAGACAGACTTAACTCTGTACAAAATCATATAAGTCTTATGCATGCGAGGAAGAAAGTCGCGTGCAACCAGCTTGCATTTTTAGACATACACTTCTGAGTCGAAGAGACGATGGCTCAATAAGACGGTCTATCTAAAGAAAGCCCAATTGGACAGGGCAATACCTTAATTTTCACAGCTTCTGTCCATTACAGTATAAGAGAGGCTTCGTGAAATGTCTATTTAAGAGGATTTAACGTATTTGTACGGCTGATGTTATAGAGAAAGAAAGTGAAATATTGATGGATATTCTTGTTGAAAACGGGGATATCCTTTGAAATTTTTAAACAGGTGTAGAAGTCAACTAGTCTCTAAACCTACAATCCATACCGTCCCTAAGAAAAATGTTTTCATGAAATTACCATATAACGGGGAAATAAACAGTAGGATTTTAAGACAAAGGTGTTGAATTCGATCATCCGTAGAACCTATTATGCAACCCAGCTTGTAATTGTCGAAAAAGCTAAAAATATGCTCCACTGAAAACCTGAAAAGTGCACAAGTGATTATATCACATCCCAAACCAATTTACCAATTTTCGTGTGTGTATGGACATACATACATAGGGAGGAGTAATCGCGCTTTGCATGTGAGTTGGGTGGAACAGCGAGCATATCTCAAAATGGTTAGAAAAACTGATGAATTGTGACAAGCCAATAGATGCAGGTGTCAGTCAGACTACCAACTTCGTCTATAGCTAAACATCTAATCGAGATGAACCATAAGGTTGATGTTACAATTCAGCCTTTAAGGTCATCTATAAAGAATGGTCAAGGCCGCTTATTGAAATACTCCGAGGCTATAGGTATTCATAAACTTAAGTCCCCTCCACCCCCTGTGTATTCAAAAACAGTTTATTATTACTCTTAACCTACCTACCTTGGTAATCCTTTTTTTGTCACTTTGTTTAATTTAATTGTCCTTTGTATTTTTTCATATATATCGACTTGACAAGTAAATGTGTGGCGGATCAGATTGTTTGAAATGTATAGCGCAAATACACATCACATCACATTGTTTTTCAGATAATCTCCGTCTTCTAATAATGCTAAATTAACATTTCTGATAGTTGAAAATATAAAACAAACTTGATTGATGGTATCATGTTCAATAAGTGCCTAATTTCATATAAAGGCCTGTATAAACATTCTGGCTCAGCAAACGGTATGATGGAGAGGAGGATTTATAGCTCAGGTGGATGATTTTGTGTGTGCGGTTGTGTTCTCTTTCTGAGCTGGCTGGGTGGATGGATGGTTAATTTGCGAAGCTTTCATCGCCCTACTTCAATTTGGTGAATTGAAGTGAGCTTTTAGATTTCTCCTCCACGAGTGAGTTTATTAATCATCTCTCCTGGTCGGTGACCACCTTGGACGTGACTCTTTGGTTGTTTCTCTGTGTGTTTTCACACCCACTCTAGGCGGCTACTTGTATTGGAACTGATTGTTTCCTTGACTTGAACTTTGACCCTTTGTGTGTGTGTGTGGGGGGGGGGGTTCCTTCTTATCGGCTGATAAATTTTGTGTATCTCGATGTGTGTCTATTAATTGACGACGATTCACTGGAATGCCAGGTAGGCTTCTAAACATTCTCTAGCATTCTTGGTGTTGTTTCCTCTGTCTAATATTTGAACGTTGGTTGTCCCAGTCGAATTGATGTCCGTGGTTGTCTGTATGCAGTGATATGAGGGGGTGTATATCATGTCTTTTGACGGCTACCTTATGCTCGTGGATACGAAGACAAAGGGAGCGTCCACTTTGGCTAATGTAGTGTTTTTCGCAGTCGATGTAACTTATTGTGTAGATGATGTTGGTTTCATCTTCTTTCGTTGTTGAGTCTGTCTTTTGGTTGACATAGAGCCAGCTGAGTGAAGTGATTTTGTTGGTTTGTGTGCGACGTCAATTCCTAAAAGTTTGAAGAGTGTTGCAGTAATTTCTGAGATGTCCTTTATATATGGTAGGGCGATTTTCTTTGTGATTTCCATGGGGGCTTTTGGTTTCATAGGTTGGCTTGGGGGTACATGTCTTTTAATGAAATTCCGTGGATATCCATCCATTCTTTTGGAAAACGTCCATGAGATATCTTTCTTCAATTTTCCTTGAGGTGGGAGTGCTGCAATGAGTCCTGGCCCTATTGAATAGTGTTTGTTTGCAATTCCTTTTGTGTGCTATTGGATTGTTGCTGTTGTAATTCAGCATTTGGTCTGTGTGAGTTGATTTCCCATAAACTTGAGTTTCTTATTCCCCTGTGGTTGTTCGCTTGACTAAGACATTCAAAAATAGGATTTCGTTCTCGGATTCCTCTTAACTTGTGAATTTGAGGTCGTTGAAGATGTTGTTTATTAAGTTGTGAGTTTTATCTAAACTCGTTTCTTTTGATAATTACAAATGTGTCGTGTACGTAACGTATCCAAATTTTGGGTTTGATCTTTAGTAGGATTATGTTTTTTGGAGCCTTTGTATCACTGCTTCTGCAATCAAACCTGATATTGGCGATCCATTCCATAGGTGTTCCTTTAACTTGTTTATATATATGGTCGTTGAATTGGAAGTACGTTGTTAAGCATACGTTTATGCATCCCATCCAGCTCATGTGTGTTGCATTTATGATTGTTGTGCGAGAGGGTGTTCGTCGTTGCTGAGTAATTGCTCCATGGAACTGCATACAAACACTATTCAAGAGGGTCAGCCAGGACTCATTGCAGCACTCTCACCTTAAGGAAAATTGAATGCTAGAGAATTTTTAGAAGCCTGCGGGGCATTCCAGTGAATCATCAATCAATAGACACATCGAGATAGACAAAATTTATCAACCGATTAGAAAGGATCCTCACACACACACACAAAGGGTGAAAGTTCAAGTCAGAGAAACAATCATTTCCAATACAAGTAGCCGCATAGAGTGGGTGTGAAAACACACAAAAACAACCAGAGTCACGTCCAAGGTGGTCACCGACCAGGAGAGATGATTAATTGTGAACTCGTGGAGAAATCTAGAAGCTCACTTCAACAATTCAAATTGAAGTGTACGCGCTGAAGGAAGATGTCGCCTGCCTAGTAGTAGGGCGATGAAAGCTTCGCAAATTAACTATCCATCCATCCAGTTAGCTCAGCGAGAGAACACAACCACATTGAAATGTTTTATTATTCTACACACTGTTAACATTTTGAATTCTAACATAATTTTATATTTAATAAAATTTTTTACTCATAAGTAAAAACACAGTTTTTTTTGATCAGCGAAGAAATTTCTTTTCAACGACTTCATTTTCAAGCTGTACAGTCGTATTTATATTACAGAAAAGGTCATTAAGTGGCACTAAATAATTGCTCAGTCAATATACATATTTAAGTGGTAAGAATAACGATAATTAAAATGTTATAAGGGGTAGAGTTGAAGTGGATAAATTACAAAATTATTAAAGATTGTTTCATAAGTGAATTGAAATCAAAAATGTTTTAAAAATGTCAAGTGTTGTCTAAAACATTTAAAAAAATTAGGAGTACGATTACGATAAGAATGAAGATGTGAAGTGAAGTGGAAAGAATTCAAGTGGTAAAATATAGTAAAGTAAAAACTAGAAAGAACATTACTATGACCAAGGTAAAGAAAGGGGTTTGACAAAACGTTTTTGAACACATAATTTAGGTTTGTGTTCATGTATAGCTAAAGCTTCGGCTATGCATAAGTGAAGAAAACGTAAACTTTTGGATCGATTCGATTTTGCCATGTAGATAACTTTCAAAGATGGATCACGTGGAGCTAAATGACCTGACTCTAACAGGTGATCACAGATAGATGACTTCGCAGTTCTACGTTCACCTTTCATTAACCAGACTGGATAGTGTTCAGCTACACGTTTTCGGAGATTACGCTTACAACGTCCAATATAAACAGCTCCACAAGAGCAGGTAAGAAAGTAAATACACATAGATGTGGACAAAAGTGGTAATCTATCCTTGACGCATTGTCTAATCATATTTTAGCTGGTAAAAACTAGTTGCAAGTCAGCTGCAGTAAAAGTACGTTTAATACATTTAGATAAACGATTTTTAATCAATTCGGAAATGGTGTCACCTTTGAATGCCAGACTCATAAACAGTTTCTTCTTTGGCACTGTAATTTGTCTAGGGGCGGATTCTTTCTTGATGTTACGTTCGATAAACCTTGTAGGATAACCATTGTTAAGGAGATGTGATCGAAGCTTATATAGTTTACTATCGATTGTCTCTGCAGAGCAGATTTTACGAATTCTGGAGCATAAGGAATGAATAAGATTTCTCTTTCTCCCTAACGGTACCCAACTGTTGAAGTTAGTGTACTGCCCAGTGAATGTTGGCTTTCGGTAAATCGACCTTAGCAACGTGCCATTCTCTCTTCTATCTAGCTTAACATCAACGAAGTGAAATGAGGAATTCAACTCTTCTTCGACCGTGAAAAGCAAAGATGGGTGAGAACCATTAAATATTCCAAGAAGTTCATCAGCAGTTGAAGAGTTTTCGTCACATACAATGAAAGTGTCATCCATATATATCTTTTATACATAAACAAACTACCGATGGTTTCCTTTAGTGGGCCATTCTCTAAGCTAGTCATGAAGACGTTCGCTAAGAGCGGTCCTAAAGGAGACCCCATTGCGACTCCATCCCTTTGATTGTAGATGACATCATTAAATCTAAATTGCACATTTAAAATTTTTTTACGGCTTACATTTGATAAATATAAAAATAACCCTTTTTTTAATTTTTTCTTTATCATTCAATGGGTTAGCATCTTATTAAAAGTGAACGAATGATTGTCTTTCGACTTGGCAAGAGAATGAAAGCTAAAGGTCCAGGTAGGTTGAAAATATTATTTTTGGTTTTACGATTAAAAAAAACACTTGTTCATTTCTAATTATGTTCGACCTGCTACATTTTAATGCATTTTAATGTAGGTGGTAATCAATAAGCCGTACTTACTTACTACCTCAGAGCTGAACCCGAATAGCTCAGTGGTAACTTCTTGTGTGTCGGTGGCACAGTGGTTAGGATGCTGCTCGCCGACCGTGCACATGGTCGCCGGGGTTCTACTATCCCCGGCCGATGCACCGTCGCACTCCTTTACCTGGCTCGCTAAGCCAGAAATAATGCTGGCGAAGGGGAAAGGTTGGGCATGAGGTGGCTAGCAACCTCATCCTGTAAAAATAAACTCCACTGCTACAGAAACTTCAAGCCTCTAGCTTGAAGCCCTATGTTCCACTGGGAACGTGAAGGAGTAAAGAACAACTTCCTCGGCTACTCAAACATCAATAGTTGTAGTGGAATTCTCAAGTGATACCAGTGATGCCTCCTCCACATAACCTGATTAATGAAAGAAAAACCATGCTGCTGGCTGAATAGGCTGACTAAGAATCTAAGACATTTCCAGAATGAATATATGTGTGCAAAACTTGGGCACTGTGGTGGTGGTAGTAAGTAATTCCATATTAGTTTGTTTATTAGATGGATGTATCACACACAGTCAGTGAAACAGTATTAGTATTTACTGGATGACAAAGTTGTTTCGAACACAATTCATCATTATTGCTGTTCATAATCATACACATCATCAATTATAATCACACGACTTCGAAACTTGAGTTTTATAGTTTTCTTTGTCCTCTGCTATTTGTCGTCGTCATTGGGCGTGGTAATAGAATTTTCCAGATATCTGGCTGGACAGGTGTGAAGTAATTCCTATTAGACGTGTTGATTTCCAGTTGATTCGACAACACAAAGCTTCCGTTGTTATCAATCTTCCCAATTGGCCAACCTGTGACATTAGATTTTAAAACTGTCACCTTATCCTTTCCCATCCGGCCTATCGTGTGATTGTGTTGTGTGTAATTGCATGTAGTGCATGCGACAGCTGTTGAACTATTCTCTAGATTTCTTATCTTATTCGGGTCAACTAATCTAGATTTTGCTGCTAGGATTTTATGCTCGGCTAGTCTGAATCACTGACCCTATTCTACTACTTTGACCTATGTATTTGACCTGACAATCATTGCAGACAGGGTATTAGATAAAGGCTCCACTGGCAGGATTGATCGTTTAACCGAAAAAGCTTGTTTCTAATTGACTTTGTGGTTGGTTTGAATTCCAGCCACTTTTATTCCTTCGTGTCAGCATTGTTGAGAATTCCTTCTACTTGTGAGTTTATATGTGTTAAGAAGCTAGAAAGAGATATGTTCTGTTTTTAATACTGTGAAAGTGTCATCTACATATCTCCACCATATTTTTGGCCTAGGATTAAATGTATTGAGAGCACTATTTTCCCAGCTGTCCATAAAGATGTCTGCTACAATAGGGGATATTGGTGATCCCATTGCTACACCTTCTGTTTGTCTATATATTTTGCCTTGGAACTTGAAGATAGTAGATGTGAGGCATAACTGAATCCCTAAAATAATTTCTTCAATAGGCAGCTTTGTCCTATGACTTATGTCCTATGTCCTATGAATTATCAAACCACTTAGCTTTAATACTATGCCCTATCAGAAATAATTCAAACTCTAGATTAACTAATTCATATGAGATGAAAAGTAAACTAAATGACATTCAACTAGCGAATGACGAAACAATGGTCAGTTTTGATATAACTAGTCTTTACACTAATATACCAGTCAATATGGCCTTAGAAGCGGTTAAAAGAGAACTAACTTCTGATTCCGAACTTAGTCATAGGACAAAGCTGCCCATTGAAGAAATTATTTTAGGGATTCAGTTATGCCTCACTCACATCTACTATCTTTAAATTCCAAGGCACAAAATATATAGACAAACAGACACTGTAGCTACAGGATTTCATCATGAAATCCTGTAACCAATCAAATCCCTACAAACCAACACTTGAAAGACACTGTAGGTGTGAGATGCATCACCAATATCCCATATCGCAGAGAATATATTTATGGACAGTTAGGAAAATATTGCTCTTCATACATTTAATGCTTCTCTAAAAATATGGGGGAGATATGTGGGTGACGCTTTCACATATCGCTAGCTTCTTGACGCTTATGAACTCACTAGTAGAGGGAATAAATTTCACACTTAAATCGGAAGATGAACAAGGAGAATTAGCTGTGATGTTAGATTGTAAAATCAAACGAATGGAAGAAGGTAAACTACACACTACCGTTTATAAAAAAACCAACGCATTCTAATAGATATTAAAACTTTAATTCATCTCATCCGGTGAGTGGCTGTGGAGGCAGGCTTAGTTAAGTGTCTAACAAACCGAGCAGCAGCACTGAGTAGTACAAGAAAAGACCTAAAGGATGAGATGAAACAGACAGAAGAAGCGTTGCAATACTCATATTATTATTTCTGAATGTAGATATAATAGAGAAGATTTGTAGCTCAGGTGGATGATTTTGGTGTGGTTGTGTTCTCTGAGCTGGATGGTTTGGTTGCGAAGCTTTCATTGCTCTACTGAGCAACATCTTCAGCGCATACTTCGATGTGAAGTGAGCTTTTAGAATTCTCTATGAGTTTATTAGTCATCTCTTCTAGTGACCCTGAACGTGATTGGTTGTTTTCGTGTGACATTTCACCCCCTAGTTTGCTTGTCTCGGTGCTGGCTGCTCCTTTGGTCTGAATGTCGTTAGTCATTCCTTCTGCTAACCTTGAACGTGATTGGTTGTTTTTGTGTGACTTCTCACTTTCTAGTTCACTTGTTTTGGTGTTGACTGTTTCCTAGACCTGAAGTTTGACTTTGTTTTTGTGTGAATTTCTTCGTATGGATTGATATATTTTGTCAATCTCTATGTGTCTATTGATTGCTGATTCATTTGAATACCAGGCCTCTAGGAATTCTCTGGCATTTTTGCAGTTCCCTTTGTCTAAGATTTGAACATTGTCCCAGTCGAATTGGTGCCCGTGGTTGTCTGCATGTAGTGATATGAGGGAGTGTATGTCGTGTCTTTTGACAGCTAGTTTGTGTTCGTGAATGCGAAGACGAAGAGGGCGTCCACTTTGACCAATGTAATGTTTGTCGCAGTCGTTGCAACTTATCTTGTAGATAACGTTAGTTTTGTCTTCTTTTGCCGTTGAGTCCTTTGGTTTACATAGAACTGAGTGTAGTGACTTTGTTGGTTTATGAGCGACATCGATTCCAAAAGGTTTGAATAGTCTTGCAGTGATTTCGGAGATATCTTTTATATATGGTAGGACGACTTTCTTTGTGTTTTCGCTGGTGGCCTTTGATTTGGTTGGTTGAGCTGAGGGTAGATGTCTTTTGATGAAGTTTCGTGGGTATCCATTTCTTTGGAAGACGTCCATAAGATGATTTTCTTCAATTTTCCTCAAGGTGGGAGTGCTGCAATGAGTCCTGGCTCTCTTGAACAATGTACGTATGCAGCTAATTTTGTGTGATGTTGGGTTGTTACTGTTGTAATTGAGTATTTGATCCGTGTGCGTTGGTTTTCTGTATACTTGGGTTTCTAATTTTCCTGTAGTTGTTCATTTGATTAAGACGTCTAAAAATGGGATTTTGTTTTCATATTCTTCTTCTCTTGTGAATTTGATGTCGTTGAATATTCGTTTATATATTATTCGTTTAAAACAACACTGTTAGTAGGCAAACAATGACCTGTATTTCTACTCACTTTGCAAGCAATCAATCGAAAAGAGTATTTATTCTTTGTTGAGTATCTATTCTTTCCAAAAAAATTGACTGTATGTAGCTCGAATAGATGATATTCCATTTGTTTTTTACGTGTGTGTGTGAAGGCTAGAAGTATTCAGATTTTGTTTATACACTCAAATTTGATGTTTCTACGTCAAGCGCATATATAGTAACCCCCTCAATTATTATCACAAGCATAACTCACAATCTTCTGTATTGTTTGCTTGCAGAATGTTGTAGTAACAAGTGTCTAGGGCTGTGTGTAACAACAGAAGACATGGGCCAGGCAACAAATCGTTTATTAAGGGAAACCAACACATATTTATAGATTTTAATGTACATTATTGTCGATTATTGTTAGAAGAAAATACAGTCTTTTGATTGGTTGTTTCTCACAGAAAGTTAATCTTGCATCTCTTTGTGGCTGTGTCAGATCATCTGCTATCTGCTAACTGCACCCGCCTACGCAACAAAGCCTTTGTTCTCATTTTCTCGCCATCACCAATATTGGGGACATAAACAACATTGACGTCGATTACTGTCTACCAACTTTGGCTAGCAGCCAGCTCTCACCACACTCGTCCCCCCCTTAGTCGAAGACTTGCGACTGAAGTTGGTTCGGTCTTCTTGGTTCTTGGGGCTTTGATCTTTTGTCTTGCTTTCTGGAATCTCGGCGCTCGCGGATGTTCACCTGTTTCTCTGTGTTTACCATTGCGATTGTGTCTAGGGCTATGAATACCTAAATGTAGTATGTTATAAGAGTAAACTCCAGGGGGGGGGGAACTGCCATGTTTAACAGCCAAACTTGGTGTGCGTTTTTGTTATTTTCCGAATCACACAGCTACCTTCACTTACTTTGTGTGTGTATGCTTCACGCGTGAGTATTGATTTGCTATTTGTTCTCGGTATTTCGCCGTTGGGTACACTGTTCCAACTGACAGCAGTACTGAAAATAAATATATCGTGGCCTTATGTACTCTATTATTCATGGATTTATTTATAACTGTAGAGCCTGAAGAAGAAGAAGAAGTTATCGAAAACAATTGTTCGCTCAAAATCTTGTTTTGATTTCAATATGGGGATATTTCATTTGTTTCATATATATATATATATATATATATATATATATATATAGTACTGTTGTTATTGTTGCTTCTTTTCTTCTCTTTTCTGTTGTATAGGCTGGGTATTTATGCTCCCCATATGTGATCGTTTTCATCGAATTACTCTTGACGAGCAAACAGTGAAAATAAAACCTGTATCTGTGAGTTTACTGTGCCCTTTTTTAATCAATACTATTATGACTGATTCACTGACTGGTTGAGTTTCGACATAAGAGCTTTACACAGGAATGCCATACTTCAAATTGTTACACACCTTGTAGAGCATGACGTGATATCCGGCTATCGACTAAAGGGCGTGTGTACTACTCAGCCAGCAGTCCGCTCCGTCCTCCTTTATGGCTAGCTGTGAGCGAAACCTGGCCATTGAGAGTGGAAGACATGAAAAGACTGATTAGCTGTCTTCGATCATGGGTGTCTGCGTTCTATCTCCCGTGTGAGGTGGTGGTATAATAAGGTGAGCAATATTGAGGTGAGGCGTCGGTCGAGTGATAGGTAAGGAGGGAGGGGAAATCAATCGACGAGACTGTGAAATTACATCGACTGAGGTGGTTAGGACATGTGCTACGTATGCATGACTAGTCATCGCCTTCCTCGACAATGGGCAATGTTAGCTGATATAGGGCCAGGCTGGGAAGGAGCTAGCCAGTGGTGGTCAAACCAAAACATGGCTTCACCAGTCAATGAAATCCACAACAGTTAGTCTAGACTTAGGAGACTATCGATGGTGGCTTTTTGGCTTCCATCGTTATCAGTGCACACAGAGTGAAGAGGAAGTGAAGAGCCATTAGGTAAAGGAGTTGCATTAGTAGAAGGAAAGCAAGATAATAGAGATGAAGATGAAGACAAAGGTGAATGAGGATTAGAGAGGTTTCGTGTGCACTTCGGATTGTGAGGGCGATTGTTACTTCCCGGCTGCCCACACCGTGGAAGTTGGTTGCGTGACCGCAGAGCCCAGGGGACAACTGTTTGAGGCCGGTCACACACGACCTGTTTTTGTTTGTTCTTTTTTATTTGGTGTGTCTCAGTAGCGTATTTATCACTTCTGCCCTGTGACACGGCAGCAGAAAGCGCGGTCGTTGTTAATCCGGGCTCCGACCGATCCGCCATGATATTTTGTGTTTTTGTTTGAGTCATGGCATTGGATTGGGTAGCTGCTTTTTGTCTAACCGCTATCCAAACAACCTTTCTGGCATGGTAGTACCTACAGGAACTTAAGTTCCAGCCAGTGTAGCTCGTTGGGTCATTGCGATATGCAAGCCCGGCGACCACGTCAAGGTAGCAGCTTTCGGTCGGGACAGTTAGTCTAAGCCACGTAGGAAGCCGTAGACTGGCTTACTGACTGGTTGGGGTCCTCGAGATGATGGTAAAGACCAATGAAGGCTGGAGACAATCGGTGATATGGCTCAGTATCGTTCTGAATGGCTGGCTGGTGCAGATGCATCCACTCCTTGTGACTTATGATTTCCAATTAAACTGTTTTGTTCTTCGTTATTACTATACCTTCGTCTCATACCTCTGTTTACTGTCTTTGTTATGCATTTCTCCTGTTGCTTTGTGTGCTACATGAAGTGTGGCGACTTGAACTGGTGTGCATGGGTGCAAAGTTTTATTTCGAAAACATACAGACAGAGGTAGAAAAGAAAAAGAGCGGTGAAAAAGAGATTGACGAGAAATTATAGTAAGCGGAAATATTTTCAGGAGAAAAAAAGAATGATTATCTTTTGATAAAGAAAAGAAAGAGAAAATTTGCAGTATAATGCGATATCGTCATCATTCTATTTCACAGGTTCCCCTGATCAACTGCACGCCGCTACCTGAAATTACAATGGTTATATGTAGATGATAATAACATACTTTAATGTTTAAGTAATATTAGAGAAGAAGAGATACTATAAAATTGACGCATCCAAAATGAAAGTAGCATTACAATTTTTAGTTTAATTTTTCATCATCAATTTATATGCTTTCAAAGTTGAAAAGAGGTGGGGGGAAAGGAAAGACAGAAAACAGAAAAAATTGTTAATTAACAGAACAGTGTGTTAGCTTGTAGCTTGTTCACATAGCAACTCAAAAAAACGACAAAAGCGGTTACAGTTTATGAGATTAAGATTTGTTCAGTGAGTTGAGAACAGTCACTGAATTAGATGACTAATTATTAGTTAATGTAATCAAAATCAAAATTCAGTTACCAAGGGATTGAGAGGTTAGTCATACACATTCTCTCTTTCTGTATGTAGAAGTTTGGTTGGTTTAAATCGTTTGATTGTGATCGCTTCGGCAAATCGCTTCGTAGTAAATTTGCTGTCCTTTGTCTATTCAATATTTTGAAGGACTTAGAAATCTCTACGAGATGTCCGGTATCAACAATATGTCTGGTAATCGCACTCTGAGAATATTTGCTTCCTTTCAGGCAGAGGTTTCTTGGAATATGTTCAGAAAACCACCGGGTGGATAGAAGTCCTTCTTTCCTTCCTTCCAATGTACTTGTTCCCGCAAGTGCACGTAAATTCATAAACGCAGTTAGTTGGAGGTGACATCCGGCAGGGTATTTATCCAGTTTTTAGTGGCTTATAGAAGAAGAAGTGGTGCTATTTAATGCTATGAGTTTTGCTGCTGCTGCCGGGAAGCTTGAATAAGCATGAAGGTGTGTGTAATGGATATTGGAGATTACAGCAAGCGAATCCACCACCTGCGTCTTTCAGAAGTATTTTGACGCATACCATCAAATAGTCTCTAGGCGTGGATTGGTTCTTAGTAGCCATCTAGGCAGGCGACTAGTGGCGTCCGTCAAGGATGCCCATTATCCCCATTTCTATTCATTTTCATCATAGACGTACTAATGGACTTAACCCTGACTCACTTCAGAGATTCAGGGATCGACTTGCTACCATCAGGGAATAATCTCGTTGAATTAGAATATGCAGATGATATAGTCTTTCTGGGCGAGGACGCTGACAAAATGCAGAGTCTTCTGAACACCTTGAGCAGCAATCTTCGTATGTTTGGCATGCGATTCGCCCCTGCAAAATGTATGATGATGTTGCAGGATTGGACTACACCGACCCCTAGATTAGAAATAGGAAGTGAAGTGGCTGGTGGAGCACGTTGACCGCTTCCTTTATTTGGGAAGTACCATCAGCCAACGCCAACGGGTTGATATCTGATGAGATCTCAGTACAGATACAGAGGACTAGTTTCGCATATGCCTGTTAACGCCGTCTCTGGTGTAGATATGATATCCGGCTGGCTGGCTGTCGACCAAAGGGCGTGTGTACTGCTCACCAATTCGCTCCGTCCTCCTTCATGGCTGTGAGACCTGGCCATTAAGATTGCAAGACACGAAAAGACTGATTAGCTTTCTTCGATCATAGGTGTCTGCGTTCTATTTCCCGCGTGAAGTGGTATAATAAGGTGAGCAATATTGAGATTAGACGTCGGTCGAGTGCTAGGTAAGGAGGGATGGGAAATCAATCGACAATGAGGCTGTGAAATTACATCGACTGAGGTGGTTAGAACATGTGTTACGTATGCATGACTTGTCATTGCCTTCCTCGACAATGGGCAATGTTAGCTGATGTAGGGTAAGGCTGGAAAGGAGTTAGCGGCGGTCAATCGAAAACATGGCACCAGTCAGTGAAATCTACAACAGTTAGTCTAAGCCACGTAGGAAGCTGTGGACTTCCTGACTGGTTGGGGTGTTCGGGACGGTAAAAAGCAATGGTTGAAAAAAATTGGTGACATGGCTCAAAATCGTTCTCAATGGCTAGCGCAGATGCATCCACTCCTTGTGACTTATGATTTCCAATGAAACTATATTGATCTTCGTTATTACTATTCCTTTGTCTCACACCTCTGTTTACTGTCTCTCTATTATGCATTCCTTTTACTTTCTTCTCTTGCTTTGTGTGCTACATGGAGTGGATGAAGTGTGGCGACTTGAACTGCCGCATATATGTGCAAAGTTCTATGTAGAAAACCGACCGACCGACCGATCTAGGCAGTCTACACGACTCAGACTAACAGTCAACGACATCATGGAGACTCAGTTTTAACATTTCTCAACGAGGAAGGTGGTGGTGGTGGTAGTGGCTCAGCATTCGCGCAACATAAGTCCTTCACACAGCCTTATCGATTACTCATTTACTGTCCTTACCCCTAACATTCTACGCTTAACACCTCAATATCGCTCATCACATAATAACACTTAAGACATAACCCCCCACGCATCTCAAGCCATAAACATCATATCTTTGACAACCATAAAGGAGGAGAAAGCGAACTACTGTGCTAATATACGTGTAAAACTTGAGCACTGTGGTGGTGGTAGTAAGTAATTCCATATTAATTTGTTCATTAGATGGATATATCACACAGTCAGTGAAACAGAATTAGTAATTAGTGGATGACACAGTTTCGAACACAATTCATCTGCTATGGTATAATCAAAACAGAGTTTACTAACTTGATCATCGTTCGTCAGTCTGGGGTCATTTTTCTTTGTCAAGTTAGCCAATTAATAAAGATAACAAAATCAAGTGTAGATTGTTGGTTTTGATCAGTGTGTAAAATCATAAAAACAGCGTGTGTTTATATATAATGATGTTGCTTATCACATTCGTGTTGACTTTGTCACTTCATGGGGTAGGGGTGTGGGGTGTTGTAACCAGGTCAAATCCTGTTTTACTCCATCATTCCTATTCAGTCCAGACAATTGGGATTCCATTAGGTGATATGAAGTGCTTCTGATGATATGAGACGTTCTTTGTGATTTCTGGATTATTTCAATATTGTCAAAATCAATTTTGTGACCTGATTCTATAGCGTAGCCTGTAGACGACCTGTGGCTGGCTGATGATTTTTCAAGCTTTTCTAGTTCGACTGGATCTATTTCTCTGTGGTAGGACAAATGCTCTACGGTGTTCATTTCTTCTGATTACCTTGATTTCACTCTGGCTATGTTTGCCCGATGCACATCGCATCACATTCCAAGCAAGCGTTTTATTTTATTTTATAGACACAATTAGATAGAGAATCTTTAGGGATCTGGTTTTTCATATGGAAAAGGTTGTTTCTCACTGTGTCTGAAGTTTTGAAGAAAACTCTAATGTCGAGCTGATTGAGTACTCTTCTGAAATCGTTTGACGTCTCTGCTCTATACGGAATGACAACTGTTGAGGTCCATGTTTGCGGAATACTTTCTTGACCATGCTTAAATGTCAGTGTTGATTTTGTTGATGAAGTTCGTTGGGTAGTTGTTGTTTTGCTTGAGAGTTTCAGTAATGTTTGATATTTCTTCTTCCACTTTTTCTTTCTCATCCGTTAACATCAGAGAGTGTGTTCGTCTAAGAACAGATGCGGGCGGCTCTACGGTGTTCATTTCTTCTGATTCTTGATTTCTCTCTGGCGATGTTTGTCCGATGTATATCGCATCACATTCCAAGCAAGCATTTTATTTTATAGATACTGTCACTGTTTATTGTTCTTCAAAGCGTTAACACTGTCTGCCGTACACACAGTTTTGAATGCTGACCACTTGGATGGAGGATTGGTTAAAAAAATTCAGGCAGATTGTAAAGAATAGAAAATAACAGAATTTTTTGAAATGTATCTGAGCACTTCTATGTATCGAAATAGATGTGTAGACCAACAAATCGGAGAAGTTCTCTGCCGCTTATCGGCTTTCGAAATGATCTTGAGTTCTAAACATTTAGAGAGAGAAAGAAGTCATGAATGCTTATGCATATGATGCTGTAACGACAGAAGGCAAAGGTCAGACAACAGATCGTTTATTTAGGAAATCAACCCACATATTTATCGATTTTCATGTACATCACTATTGATCATTGTTAGCAGACAAACACTGTCTTCTGATTGGTTGTTTCTCTTCGTGGGCGTTACTTGAAGGTCAGATCATCTGCTATCTGCTAATTGTATCCACCTACGCAAACGAAGTGTGCTGTGATTGGTTGTTGAGTCAGACAGTCTTTGTTCTTGTTTTCTTATGACCGATATTGGGGACATAAACATTGAGGTGAATTACTGTCTACCAATTTTGGTTAGCAGACAGCTCTCACCACACTACTACGCTTGTCTTGTAATTTCTCTAATTTTCACACGTGCTAATTTTATTATTGTAATGTTAAAAAGTATTTTGCACGAGTGACACATTATGATGGATGAGCTTCGACATATACATTCAGTTTTATTAGCTAATGGTTATCCGGAGAACTTTATCACTTGTCACAGTAAGGATAGACCACATCTCGAAAAGACAGTTTCTGTACCAAAGAAAGCTATCTGTCTTTATTAACCTACCTACTATTCAAGGGTGACCAGATCACGCAGTTGTGACAGCTAGCTCAAAGACACTTTGGTCAGCCATCAAACGCACATTCTACGCCGTCACGTCTCTTCCCCTCTCACATGCCGAACATTTTCGATCCCTGTTCCTACGATTTTAAAGGACGAAATTCTGTGGTCTCCACTTCAAACTGTATCTACAAGTTCCCCTGCAGTTGTTACGGTGACACACACCTATATAGGTGTAGAACCAATAGAATGTTCCAATGTCGTGGTCGAAAAGAACATGTTCCAAAATGGTTACTAAATCATATAGAAAATCCCACCAATGCATTCATTAATCTGAATAGAAATCCACCTTCATCATCCATTGCAAAACACTTATTAATGTGAGATCACAAAAATCAATCAATATTAATTCATGACTGTTTCACAATTATTTCATCACATAACTCTAATTGAAGGTTGGTTATTGAATGTGATGGAAGGAGGCTTCGTGGATTAATCACATAGAGCTTAAACTGTGTGTACAGTCAAAACAATAGACTTCAACCTTTGCCTACCATGGACTGATTACTTGACCTATTGAAATATGATTGGTCATTAGCATAGTATGTACTTTTGTTTTGTCTTATATAACTGAGTAATTGTCATGCATTTTATTTTATTTTATGATTGTTAATCATGTTAGTTATGTAAAGCGGTTGTGGAGAAACTACGAAATGACGATATCATCTCGTGGCGAAATTTGTCTTCTTCTAAATGCATTACTTATTCAAATTTATCAAAAAGACTTTGTGTTGATACAATCAATACTGGTGAAAAATGGAACTCGAATTCACCGGATTTCTCAAATCCTGTAGATGTTGTGTAAATGCAACAACATATTAGAAACGATGGAGAAGATTTGTAGCTCAAGTGGATGATTTTGATGTCGTTGTGTTCTCTCTCTGAACTAGCTGGATGGATGGTTAATTTGCGAAGCTTTCATCGCCCTACCACTTGGCAGGTGACATCTTCCTTCAGCGCATACACTTCAATTTGAATAGTTGAAGTGAGCTTTCAGATTTCTCCACGAGTGAGTTTATTGATCATCTCTCCTGGTCGGTGACCACCTTGGACGTGACTCTTTGGTTGTTTCTGTGTGTTACTTGTATTTTGCAGCTGATTGTTTCTTTGTTTCTTTGACTTGAACTTTCACCCTTTGTGTGTGTGTGAGGTTTTTTTCTTATCGGTTGATAAATTTTGTCTGTCTCGATGTGTGTCTATTGATTGATGATTCACTGGAATACCAGAAAGGCTTCTAATAATTCTCTAGCATTCTTGGTGTTGTTTCTTCTGTCTAATATTTGAATGTTGGTTGTCCCAGTGGCCAAGTTAAACTTTAGACACCAGCAACTACCAATCAGCGAACGACGTCCAATTATCCAATGAGATTCACGAACGTAGTTCAATGTTGTATAGAGCTTGATTCATTTATAGTGAATGCGTGCCCTTACAAGGTTACGTTTGCAATTCGAAGGGGATAGTGTCTTTCAGTATTGCCTAGACTTGGGCTTGCTTCGAAAGGAGAGAAATTGTTCGTGTGGTGGTGTTACATGACTCTTAAAAGCTATACCAGGTCAACTGATGGATTTGTCCATCGTTGTGGAATATGCTGGAAGCGAGTTAGAGAGGGAAAGCTGCTAATTTTAATATTTCGTAGGAAGTTTTTTTGCTAGGTAACATCTCTCTCTAACCCAGATTTTGTATATCTGCAACTATTGGGTACTGAAGCAGCAGCCAGTGAGAGCGGCAGCTGCGGAGACGGAGAACAGCCTCGTCTCAACAGTCCAATGGTATCAGCACTGTAGAGACATCGCCTCATGGAAAATGGAGAGAATTACTTCGTTGTTAGGCGGGGATGACGTAGTAGTGCATGTAGATGAGACAGGGCTGGTGAAGAAGAAATATAACCGTGGTCGTCAGAGAGCCAACAATATTTGGGTAATAGGTTTATACGACACGTCCCTCCGAAAATGATTTGCCGAAAGGATAGCAGACACTAAAGGCGAGTACTCTGATACCTATTAGAACCCGACTTGTCAAAAGGGGATCAATTGCACATACCGACGAGTGGAAAGGTTACAATTCATTGTCATCGCTGGGATACATTCATCATAGAGTGAATTACTCCAGTGTTTTCGTGGATCCAGTTACAGGGACTCATACAAATTCAATTGAAGGATTTTGGAGTCGATTGAAAAATAGAATAAGGGCTATAAATGGATCGCAAAAGGATCTCATTTATCGTCATTTAGATGAATATATGTATAGAATATGTGGTGCGACTTCTCTATTGACAGTCCCATGTGGAATGGGGAGATTTTCCTGTCCCATGTTCGGGAAAGGCACCCATTGTAACCGTTTTATCCTGTTTTTATGCATTTTTTTTTTTATAAATATACGCTTCCACTTATCATAAACGTCTCTTTCGTGTGATTGGTCCGTTCAAGGTCGTTTGCTGATTGGTTGTTATTGGTGTCGAAAGTTTAACTTTGCCGTCCCAGTCGAATTGATGTCCATGGTTTTCCGTATGCAGTGAGGCGATATGAGTGAGTGAGGGAGTGGATATCATGTCGTTTGACAGCTAGTTAGCGTATGATCGTGGATACGAAGACGAAGAGGAAGGGGATTAGCGTCCACTTTGGCCAATATAGTGTGTACTAGTTTTTTTTATTGTAATGTTAAAAGTATTTACTTTCATTTCGCTTCGCTTCATTGTGAGATGATAAAATAAATAAATATTAAATTTTTTCTCCTCTAATCTTATCAACAAAAGGGTGGTACACAAGATGAAGCGGTTGTTGAAGTCACGTGCTCGTCAACATTCTATCTACTTGAACCAGAATATGCCTACAGTATGACAAGTAAAAGTCCAGTGGAGATTGTTTCAACACAAACTCAGTTATGCATTCTTTCAGCACTGTCACACTTGGAATGGAATTATTTAGAACATGGTAATGCTAAAATCGACCTGGCTAATGAAACAAAGGTAAACAAAGGTTTTGAAATATTCCATTATTATTATGTAAACATGATTACATCATCATATATATGTATATATTGCTCACTTTGTGTGTGTGTGTGTGTGTTTATGGAATCGCATTCTGCCTATTATTCTCTATTGTTCCCGCTTAGTTTTTCCCGGGCTACTGAAGAAAGACTATAACATCATATTACGCAGGATGTTAAAGGTTGTTAGCAGGGTGGTAAGCAATGTGCCACTTAACCAGCTTGTTAATATTCTGGTCGACAGGCAGGCACTTGGACTCATGTGAAAAATGAGGGCTAAATCCTAATTCTATCCAACTCACACCACCACCCTCTTCATTCACAACTCTCCCCTTGTATATCTCATCCGGCAGGACCAGAAGCCTATATAGAAAACTATATGCTCGCACTAGCAAGTACATAAACCCAGTCATACCCTACTTGGCTCGCGATAAAGAAAGCATTAGGTGCGAGACTTATAACTTACTAAATAGTCAGTAGAACGACTGGATCTCGTCTTTCCAACTCATATCATTTATAGGTACAACGTTTTTCTTTCTTTCTCTTCCTTTTCTATCTCTCTCTCTTTTTCCCTTTTTTTCCGTTATGTTCTGCTTTGTTTCTTTCTCTCGCTTACGCCAGTAAATATGACAGCTCCTACTTTTCTAACACCTTCAAACACTGTTCAGCGTTGGCTTTTCTACCGACATGCCAATGTGTTGTTATCACAATGAACTGAGACTGCCCCTAATCTATGTAGAATTCTATTTATTGATAATGTACACAAACTGGATGCGCAATACTGTAGTAAAATGCTGAGAATTCCATTCTGTATCACAAGTACTGTTTTGGAATAAAGCAAATTATTATTATTATTATTATCATTATGGTTATTTATTTGTGGGCTGCTAACACTATCAAAGTCGATTATTTTTTTTAGGGGAGGGGGCGGGTATTTGTCCTCACAAGCCGACCTGCTGCACCCTACTGGTCACGACTTCCCACTAGAACCACCCCAGATAACTACCTACCTGAATAGGGCAAGTCGCTAGTGAGCATCTCATGGATATTCAAGTGTTGGTTCGTAGGGGGGGGATTTCATTGATTGGTTACAGGATTTCATCATTATGAGCTGACATTGGTCAGATAACCATTGGAAAACCAGCCAGGGAGTACTGACTGGATAGCTGTTTCCCCCATTCTAGTTTTCGACCGGCGGCTATTCAGCAGTACGCACCCAACCCACTGACAGGGTTCGACCCCAGGACGCCGTTCTGGTTACAAGGCCAGTGAGCTAACTTGTAGACCATTATGCCAAGCCACTGGGACCCGACCCAATGGCCAGCCAGCCAGCCAGTGCATGAATTCCAACTTGTGCCAATTCATGCACGACATAGCGCGACTGGCACTAGCCAATGTCATCACTGACGAGTATTTGTCCTCACACTCCCGAACTGCTGCACCCTACTGCAGGTAGTTACCTGGGGTGGTTCTGGCGGGAAGTCGTAACCAGTAGGGTGCAGCAGGCCGCAGGGTGTGAGGACAAATACTCGCCGCCACCGAAGACATTGGCTAGGGCCAGTCGCGCTATGTCGTGCGTGAATTGGTAGAAGTTAGAATTCATGCACTGGCTGGCTGACTGGCCATTGGATCGGGTCCCAGTGGCTTGGCTTAATGGTCTACAATCTAGCTCGCTGGCCTTGTAACCAGAACGTGGTCCTGAGGTCGAACCCACCCTGTCAGTGGGGTGGGTGCGTGCTGCTGAAGAGTCTCAAACTAGGCTGACGAAACAGCTGTCCATTACTTACTAGTTGGTTTTCCAATGGTCTTCTAAACAACTGGTGTCAGTTCATGATGAAATCCTGTAACCAATCAATCAAATCTCCCCTACAAACCAATACTTGAATACACTTTGTTTACACTTGTTTGTTGTGAAAAATTAGTTTCTAATATATAAAAGGTAAAAGCAACGCAATGACATTTTCTGCTTTAGCAACGTAGAAAATAAAATATTTATCGCCCAGATTAAACCCTTCGAACGTTTAACACACCTCGACTCGATACTGCCTAATTAGCATGCTTTGTTAGGTGGTTGGAAGACATCGGTGGCAGAGGAAGCCTTGCATGACCTACGCGTTTCGTGGACGCGTTGGCACTCACCAGTCAGTCAGTCAGCAAGGCGTATCTGCAACCAACTTGAAGGAACAGCTCATGTGTCCCTTCAGAGATTCGAATCCCCACCACCCAGTGATTACTGCAGTGATTCATTGCGATTGACCTCCTGTAGGACTGTGTTAGATGCTTTGATTGGACACTGGTCGGTAGCTAGTATGATGTGTCTAGTCCTCTGTTTGGTGCAGACTGACTTCTATCTCAGTCAAGTTTGCATGTCTAGACAAGTTACACTAGTTACCGGCTAGTGTCCAATCAAAAATATCCAATACAGTCCTACAGGAGAAGGTCAATCGCAATCAATCACAGCAGTACTCACTGGGTGGGGCGCGGGTTTGAATCTCAGAAAGGACATGGGGGTCCCTTTGAATTTGCAGAAATGCCTTACTGACTGACTGGTGAGTGCCAACTAGCACGAAACGCGTAGGTCGAGCAAGGCTTCCTCTGGCCGACTATTGTCTCCAACTTTCTTATACCAACAATTATATATATATATATATTCGTCCAATCATTCCTCATCTAATCCACTGAAAAACATGTCATCCATTGAATCAAAAATTGGATATGTAGACAATAAGTTAAATTCACAACTTCAATTTTTGCAGAAAAGCCGGCGTGTATGTATTATTTCTCCTTTTTCAGATCGTGGAAAACACACCCTTATGGGTGGACATTAGAAAGAAGAGAACACAAAGTTCAGCAAAGATATCTGCCATCTTTTCGGCGATTTCATTTTAAAAGTAGCTGTACAATCGCATTTATAAAATACATAATTTTACTTACATGGATACGATACAATTATTCTTGTTTGATTCCACACTAATTACGCCGGTGAATAAAAGGTGACAGTTATTTTCAAGTAGGTGGATGGTTTACGAGGAAAGTCTTTGAAACCAAAAATTACACAGGATTAGAACGGATAACCAGGGTGTGTAAAAATGAGCATGGAAACAAAATGGAAATAATATTAGTTTTCAGCTTGAGATAGGAGTTAGGAGGTGTGAATATAGATTACAAGGGCTTTCGAAACAAAATTTACACGTGTTTATAGCGAATTACAGGTGTATAGAAAATGAGCATGGCAACAAAATTGAAATAAAAATAATTTTCAACTTGATGTGGGAAAATTATTATTTCAATTTTGTTTCCACGCCCATTTTCTATGCACCTGTAATTGGTTGTAACCCTGTATAATTTCTAAGGCATTAAGCAGAAGAGATGATGGAACCCTGAAGAAGTCCACCCACCGAATACCGACATAAAACGGCCAACTAACGCATTTCTATAGTTGGATGCCTTTGAGTCGAAAACGGGCCCTTACCATCTCACTAACCCATCGCATTAGAAAAATCTGCAGCAGCATTTGCGTGGGACAGGAGCTCCTATTCCTCAAAATGGTTACCCGACACGTTTTGTCGAAAAGAACATGAAACCTAAGCCAAATAGGTGAGAAGAATGCGATTCAGCGCCCCAAAGAAAACGCTGTATCTGAATCTGAATTTCAGGGGAGATTGGACAGCCGATATCCTGAAGAGGAGAATATCCAGCTCTTTAAAGAAGACCTTCCCTACAGCAACACTGAGAGTGACATTCTCTAGCCGTCATGTCAACAGAAACCTACCAAAAGCAGTATGTTTCCGACTTCTCTGTACTGCAGACGCCCTCGCCATAAGCATCGGGAAGCCGGAGCTGTGTGTTCAAAAGAAATTAGTTCAACCTCTACAACTACCATGGACCTAGTTCGGCATGTTCCTTTAGCTTCTGTTTTCTTTTCTTCTTTCTTTCTCTTATTTTGATCTTGTTTCGTTTGCTGTGTGTCTGTGTGATTCTTACCCCCCCCCCTCTGTTTTCATTCGATTCACCACATTTATGTTTACAATTGTAAAAAACAGTTAAGTTTGTTTCCATGCTTTCCCTGCTCACAATTACAGTTCATTTAAAATAACTATTTTACAATTGTATCTTAATCCTGTGCAATTTTTGTGTGTTTATAAGGCTCTTGCGATTTATATTCACACCTCCTAACTCCTATCTCAAGCTGAAAACTAATATTATTTCAATTATTATTATTATTTCAATTTTGTTTCGATGCTCGCTCATTTTGTTCACACTTGTTAGCCATTCTAATCCTGTGTAATTTTTGGGTTCCAAGCCTTTCCTCGTAAACCATTCATCTAGTTGAAAATAATTGTCACCTTTTATTCGCCGTCGTAATTAGTGTGGAATCAAACAAGAATTGTATTGTATCCATGTAAGTAAAATTATGTATTTTATAAATGCGATTGTACAGCTACTTTTGAAAATGAAATCGCCGAAAAGATGGCAGATATCTTTGCTGAACTTCGTGTTCTCTTCTTTCTATTATTTTTATCCAGCTAGATTATTTCTTGTATGCCTTGTCATACCTCTCTAGTCCTTTCTCATTATTCATTATTATGGCTGCGTTCGTATTTCTCAGAAAGGAAGCAGTACACTATATGTCAGTCATGGAAAGTCGTCCACTTCGTTGCTTACTGAGACTGGTGTCCCTCACGGCGCTGTTTTTTCTTCCTTTTCTGTTTTCTTTCTTCTTCCATGACTTGCCTCACTCTGATGATGAAATGAACTTTGTTAAGTATACCGATGATCTGACTATTTCAATGTCTGTTAACTCCCAGCTAGACTGCACTAAGATGAACAGCTTTCTATCAGGAATTAGCAAATGATCTTCGTCTACTGGTCGGTGTTAAACTAAATCCTTCCAAATGATGTCAGACTGTTAATTTCAGTTTCCGATGTGAGTAAAAGAAAGTTAAGCGATGAAGCTGTTGGTTCCTATGACCGTTGCAA